GATCCCTGTTGCCCAGTTGCAGGTCCATTGATTCCCTTGTTTCCCTGGTTGGTGAATAACACTTGTTATATAATGGAAGATATCGTATTGGGGTTTAGGGATAGAGTGTAAATTGGTAGCTGAACACAAAGAAGATATCATTGTTTCATTTAAAGATATATATATCATTATATTGAAGTATAGACTATATTGAAATATTGACATTGGCAGGCTAGTTATATATGTAAGATTTGAAGAAATAAAAGTTCTTGATTAACTTCTTAGATATATATATGGCTGTATGGATGGAAGGTTACCCGGTACTTGGTTGGATGGATGGATGGATGGATAGATGTCAGATGGATAATTATTTAGACCAGTGGATCTAAATAATTATGCATCCATCTAACCAAATAACCTTCCTGGATGGAAAGGTTTGTGTGTATAGGGCATGTGTGGTTGCATGCATGAATGAAATTAAGAAATATTCATGTTAAAAATCTTCAGAGCTGACATTAACATGGATGATGATGCACCTTGTGTGACTGACAAACTTGACTCCTTGGTCAGTCACCACAGGTCCTGTACCCCCCCTCCTTCAATTCATTATGACCTGGGACGGTGGGGTAGCCCAGTGGTTAAAGCATTTGCCTGTCACACCAAAGACACAGGTTTGATACCCTACATGGGTACAATGTGTGAAGCAAATTTCTGGTGTCCCCTGCCATGATATTTCTGGAATATTGCTAAAAGCGGCATAAACCCCAACTCACTCACTCGCTCAGTATGGCCTGGTGGCCTAACATTCCTGACTCCTGGGCTGAGCACCACATACCAACACATTCCTTACATAAGACAGAGTTTCTCCGAGCATAATGTATCCACAAACTAATCTATGCCTACCGCTGTCAATATGTTTCTGCTGTCTAGCTGCACAGAGCTGTATTGTTCTTATTGAAGTCACTCTCTGTGTTGACAAATCTCTACTTGTAAACAAAAATTTGGTAAAAATATCAGGTTTATGCCCAGAGAAGTTCTGGAAATCAATAAAGTACACAACCTGATGGAAATAGCTTGTTTATTGTCAAGAAGTTTAATTTTGAATTAACTCTTGAGGATGAGTTTTGACATTTGTGTGTAAAGTTGTTTGAACGTGAGTGGTGTGTTTGGTGTAATGAAAAACTGATGTGGAATGTTTTTGTGAAGTATTTCAATCATGTTTGAAGTCGGAGCCAGGTATGACCTGCCTGGTGATGAGCAGCTGACGATGACCACCATGTTTTGTAGGAACAGAGGTGGAATTTTGGTATTTTTAGATAACTTTCTGCTGTTGCCATTGAAAACGTGACAGGGGGCACTGGAGGAATTAAATGTGGTAACAAGGCATGTCTACTTTGCTGCAAATGTTGCTAGAATCAGTTGGAATATTCAGTCCTCTACCTTGCCAGATCCTGATTAAGATATTAGCATGTACCAAACTACTTGTACTTTAAGAATATCTCTACATGAGCTGTTTTCTTTATTTCCCAATATCTTAAAAGGAGCAGTGGGATTATTTGATGTTGAACATCGAGATGAAGTTTAATTTAATTACCTGAAGTGAATATGTTGATTAAATGTGAATATTGTTTTAGCTATTTAGTACATCTATTTACGAGTGGGATAAGAATATATTCATTGAAAAACATGTCCTATCAAAAAGCGCAAATATGTGTCCGTATTTCATGTAGTTAATTTTAGAGCTTTGATCAGCTTGATGGATAATATAATAATAATAGGCCATTTATATAGAGCCTTTCCACGTCACAGGGATATGCTCAAAGCGCTTCCTGAGCTCAAGTTAAAACTATATACAGTTGGCAGGTACAGATGATTGGAAGTCACTTGTAGCGGAGAAATAGATCAGTCTTGAGTCATGGTTTGAAAGTACTTAAGGAAGGAGATGATTTTAACTCGATTGGGAGAGAGTTCCACAGAGAAGCTGCTGCATATGAAAAGGTTCTTATTAATGTTGTTAAAAATCAGAATAATCTATAATGATACATTTTCTAACTCTAATAAGTGACATGTGATAGGTTTACATAGGATTGGTTAGAATCGATGGGTAAGACGTTTAACATCATATAACATCTGATTTATGCAATTTTCTGTACTAAAAACTTTAGGTATTACCAGTATTTTCATGTGTTCCCTTATAAGGAAGAGCTTTTGTCTGAGGTAACTCAACCTTACCCCCGCCATAAAGATGGAATATTGCTGAGTGTGGAGTAAAACTAAACTCACTCACTCACTCAACCTTACCCACTTGAAGTGATTTGATCACCTGATGAAACTACTTTCCACACAACATATATTTCTGGTTAGCGATTGTGACAGACTACCAGTGTTCCTTCCAGAGTGACATTTAGTCAGCATACATGGAAATGAAACTGTTTTTATGTGAAGGTTTCTGTGAATTTTATGCTTATCCCTTCCATGTTTGAAGAAACATTAACGAATAGTGTCAAGTTCAAAAATGTATTAATTTGTTTTTGAACCCACATCACAATGGATCTTCAACTAGTTTCATTGTTACACAGAAAGGTAAGGATAACACTGACAGAAATTATTGACATTGCTCAGCTTCTGAGCCTTGGGCTTACATCCTTTTATCACACTTGTAATCTAGATTTGCTGCAGAAATGATATGGAGTTGAATTCTGTCAGTGAAACACGTCTATCTTTCCCCAGACTCCATGATGTCTCTATCTGACTTGTAATCTAGACTAGCTACAGGACAAGGCATGGTACAGTCAGAGGAGACTCCAAGATCCTTTAGTCCTTATGTAATCCAGCCTTGTGTAAATCCAAGGTGTTAATGCTAATACTAAAAGAGGAAATATGTTTAAATCTTTCTTTAGATTATTAGTACACATGTAATCAAGACTAGCTACAGTCTAGGGGTGTCCTAGGCTGCCTCAAGGCTGTTACAATGGAGGACAAGAAGGCCCAGCCCACAATACAAGCTAACTCAACTCCATGTCTATATATGTATAGGTACTCAAAACCATCAATAATGTAGCAGACTTTAGATAACCCTAATCAATTTCCGTACCAGAAATGGCTGTCGATGAATAAAATATGCATGCAAACTGGGACTGGTACCAGCTATTCTGTGTCACGGATTACATCCGATATAGAAAGTCATACATGCTTGTTTACAGTGTTACAAATAGATCGTACACAGGTAAACAAGGCTTGTTTGTTTCCACTGTCACCTGATAGTACTTTTAAAACACAAATAGAATTATCTGACTGAAGTATCTTCCAGAGTTTCTTACTTACGTGGGTGCGTTTGTAGAAAACAACCTAAGGGCTAAGACTATGTTAAGGCTATGTTAAGGTATGGGCTGACTGAGTTTAGTTTTACTCCACTTTTAGCAATATTCCAGCAATATCACGGCGGGGGACACCAGAAATGGGCTTCACACATTGTGCCCATGTGGTGAATCGAACCGGGGTCTTCGGCGTGACGAGCCAACGCTTTAACCACTAGGCTACCCCAGGTATGGGAGTCACCGTCACCTTAGTGCTTAGATTGCTCTGTACAATGGCACCATGGGCTAGATACAAATGGTGGGCAGACAATAAGTCCACTGGGATAAAAAGCCCTGGGACAAACCCCCCCTAGACTAAATGCCCCCAGGACAAAAAGCCTGTAATGGGTGATCACTGTCTGCCTCACAGCCCAGGGTGCCGTTGTGTAAAGCGATCTTAGAGCTAAGGTGACCACAACTCCCATACTTTAACATAGACTTAAGGTAGCCTTAGCACTAAGGTTGTTTTGTACAATGGCACCCTGAACAATATCCATTTCTGTACTACCAAGCCCTTTCTGTAATGCTCAAGCCCTACATGAAGTGAGTCAATATTTTTCTCTGAATCTCCATTTCACCTTAGTCTGTTTATCAGTATAGATAGAATTATGGGTTTCTAGACTGAGCATAAGTGTGGATCACTATGCACGGACAAGTGTGAGGTCCCTTGCACCCTTTTGCTTGTTTTGAGTGAGTATGGTTTTATGCCTCTTTTAGCAATATTCCAGCAATATCATACCAGGGGACACCAGTAATGGGCTTCACACATTTTCCCCACTGAACCCGGGTCTTCAGCGTGACAAGTGAACGCCTTACCTACTAGGCTTTCCCACCGCACCTGATGGGTATTATAAAACAACAGACAAAGTGATGAACTAACCTCCAGTTGCCTGTTGAAGATCTGAGCCTGATCTGAGTATATGTGTGAATTCAGATTAATTAAGAAGGAACTTCAATGTTTTTTTGCATTTCTAGATATGGAGTGTTCAAACTCTGTGAATCCACAAGGCAGATTTATGCGAAGTGTGCACAGTGTGTTTGCATTTAAAACTCCACACGCAAAAACATATCAAGCTCAGTTCTTATAAAGAAATATGTCAACAATAAAACCTCACTGATTGCTTAATCAAACATTAATGCACAAAAACTGTAGACATCATTAATCGGTGACAGTGTCCAATAAAATAACACAAACCCTGCCTTTTCTATTAACGGTCTAGAAACAGTATTCTGTTCATGGGCAAGGCCAAAATCAAATTACTGAAGATCCAAATGTAAAGATATTTGTTTGGTTGGCCAATCAAATAGAACAGAATCTCTTGTAGTTCATGTGTTGTGGGATTTCTTCTCTGACAAATCAAGGATCCAAACTGGGATTCAAACCAATGAACAGCAGATCATTGAAAAGCAAAGGGAAGTAACTCAGCACATAGATATATTCCTGGGTCTGTCAACACATGTTTTAATCTGCATTGCTTCAATTGATAGTTCCTAACATGATCATCTAACACACTGTGATATACTTAAACTGTCATTGTTCTTTTTAGAGCTTCATTTAACCAATTCAACATGTTCAAGCTGTCATGACTAGTGAGTCTGGATCATTGATTTATCAACAGAGTGCTGGTATCTTTCCGTAGCTGTGTAAATGATAGATGAGCTGACCTTCAGGAAGAAACAAACGCATCATGAAAAATGGCTGGTTCCTCTCTAGCTGGTCTCCTCTGGAAGGAGCAGCTGGCTGTCCTCAGTTGTATGGGGACTGAGATAGGGTGACATAGAGGAGACTATTATAGATGTCCCTGGACTATTAGAATTATTTTCAATTTATTTCCATTATAATTTTCACTTGAGAGCTCAACTATGACTGTCATGAGTCTGACTATAGTGGCTTGTAGTGCTACAACTAAAGCTATGCTATGACTGTCATGAGTCTGACTATAGTGGCTTGTAGTGCTACAAATAAAGCTAGGCTATGACTGTCATGAGTCTGACTATTGTGCCTTGTAGTGCTACAACTAAAGCTAGGCTATGACTGTCGTGAGTCTGACTATAGTGGCTTGTAGTGCTACAAATAAAGCTGGGCTATGACTGTCATGAGTCTGACTATTGTGCCTTGTAGTGCTACAACTAAAGCTAGGCTATGACTGTCGTGAGTCTGACTATAGTGGCTTGTAGTGCTACACCTAAAGCTAGGTTATGACTGTCGTGAGTCCGACTATAGTGGCTTGTAGTGCTACAACTAAAGCTGGGCTATGACTGTCGTGAGTCTGACTATAGTGGCTTGTAGTGCTACAACTAAAGCTAGGCTATGACTGTCGTGAGTCTGACTATAGTGGCTTGTAGTGCTACAACTAAAGCTAGGCTATGACTGTCGTGAGTCCGACTAGAGTGCCTTGTAGTGCTACAACTAAAGCTAGGCTATGAGTGAGTGAGTTCAGTTTTACGCCACACTCAGCAGTATTCCAGCTATATGGCGGCGATCTGTAATTAATTGAGTCTGGACCAGACAGTCCAGTGATCAACAGCATTGACCTACGCAATTGGGATACGATGACATTTATCAACCAAGTCTGCGAGCCTGACCACCCGATCCCATTAGTTGCCTCTTATGACAAGCATGGGTTACTGAAGACCAATTCTAACCCGGATCTTCATGGGTCAGCTGGGCTATGAATAATAAGACTGACTATACTACCTTGTAGTGCTACAATGGCCATGTGAAGGATGACAACTCTTTCAGTTATTTAAAATCACTCCAAAATATCCCAATTATCAGCTTGCAGCCACTAATGATGATCTATCATAGGATACGTATTACCAGCTCCGATGTGACAAAGTACCATGTTAGAACCAAATGATATGTGATAATTACTATAATATCACAACCATTGCTGACGTATTCCATGGTAGTACAGTAATCAACATGGGGAGGTAATTAATTATATGATGCTCACCTGACAGCTAATAATGTAGCATGGTTAGATCTTCCTGACAACTAATTCAGATGTGAATGGAACCTGTAGTCTCATCATGCTGAACATGGACTGGCCAGAGAAGTGGAGTTAATCAACAGCCAGCAGGAATTTGGCCTCCAGGGAATCGATCTACCACTTTTATATTCCCTTAGTGTCATTGTCATCTCTGTGAAGGGTTCAGATTGTAGTTACTGCTTCTGTGTCATTGTGATGTCTGTGAAGCTCAAGCATATGAAAGGACAAGGTATGATAAGGGCCCTTATTGGCCCACAAAATTTCATGATATTCAAAGTTTTACAACATGATAATTTTAGCATCAAAAAGGCTAAATTAATTGTTGAAGTTACCTCCAATTGCTTTTTTTATGATTTTAGTGCTGTTATTTTTCCTCTTTAAAGACCTCAAAGTTAACCTATTTTACAATATCTTCTAAAAACCTACATTTTCTGATTTTCAGAGTGATAAAAAAGTATGAGCAAAAGCATGACCCATCCCAATTTTTTCACCACACATGAAGAGAGTAAATTAGAATGCACACCTAAAAAATTGTGGTGGGTCACGCTTTTGCTCATATCAAAATTTTAAAAATGTACATTTTTTTCTGTTATATGAAATTGCCCCATACAACATATCAAAATAAACATTGACGTAAAGTATTATCTTTAAAAACTATCCATCACATTTACACAACTATATCACGATTCATTATTTTTTTGAATGTTTTTGGGCTCTAAAATGAACTTATCAAACCTCTTTATTAAAATGTTCAATATCATAAGGGACTCGCAAGGCTGATGACTTTGATGAAAACACGGGTAGATTTTTGGAGCCCCATTGCTGGAAAAATAAGAAGACATCAGAAGGGTTTTCAAAATATGATCTGGCAGCCATTTAAAGGTGAGAATCTTTGTAATTATGTTAGAATTTTATCATAGTTGTTATAGCATCTGTTTATCAAACACCTCTGAGTCACCTGTCACTGTCAAAATAACACTGTCATTCAACAGGATGTTGCCATGTATAAACATACACATTTCCAAGAAACAATGTACCTTGATGTTTTCTATGATCTATTATATTACATTTAACCAAAATGACTATACTTAACTGTATGAAAAGTTTCTTCTTAGAATAAGAACATTGTATCATGGTGCAGCAGATGATGAACACAAGCAGACGTCAAGTGACACATTGTTGTAAGGTGTAATATATAACCTTAAATTCACCACAAGGACCTGAAGAATATGTAGCCTAGTGGTTACTGTGCTGGCCTGTCGTTTTTCTCTATTATTAGACATGCAGGTTCGATTCCTGTATTTTTTTTATACAAAGTTTGGTCATCCAATTTACAATGTTTAGCTTAACTTGTTCACATCAAATCCAAATATTATAATTTTTTTTCATTAAGTTTGGTAATCTATGTTACACTGTTCAAACAAACTTTAATTAACATCATGTAAATCTTTTTTAAGCCTGAAGACACTGGCCTTTCAACACTGTCTTGTTGCCTTTGTTCCCACACCATAAAGAACATGGAGAAGGTAAGCATTGTTTCAAAATGTTATTGTGGTACCTTCTTTAAGTAAATATTTACAAATTGTCCATAGCTGTTAATCAGTGGTGTACTGATCAATCAAATAATTGGTTTATGGATATTTTGTGGGCTGCCAGTCAATTACCGATATCCAAAACACATAACCAATTAAAGCGTTCACTATTTCTTCTTAAAAATATGATTACAGAATCATTGACTATTGGTTTCAATTGTCATATTGAAACTGAGGATTGATTACCTGTGTTTTCATGTGCTCTGACAGTTGTTTTTATCTTATATCTATAATTGATCAAAAGGTGGCCTCCATAATTGATTATGCTGTTGGAGGTCAATTCCCTTCCATATATAACTATACTATTGACACATTTAGCATTAGAAAAATTAGGAAGCACCAATTTCTTGAACATTATGATAATCCTTCTATAATTTCAAATATTTGGTTTCAGATAAGAGAAATAGTCATGGATTGATTTCAGGAGTGTCATTTCATGAAGATGACAAATTAAAACTTGAGGTTGAAGGTAAGCATAATATGAGTTAAAAGATGTTTCTAAATATTTTTCAATTCAATTTTCTAATTTAATGTGACAGAAAATCAGAAAACCTGATGCCTCAGGGGTGATTAAATCTGCATAAACCTTCAAAGCTAGACTAATGACATTTGAAAAAAGTAATGTTACCCTTGAATAGATTATCACAGCTTTTTTAAACATAATTTTCTATTGATATGAAGTCATCTGTATTTCAGTTGAGAGAAGATCTGAGTCTGAGCCAAGACTGCCCAAGAGTGATATTGAGGTTTTGTGAAGATCATAAACAAGTACTTTAACAGCATGCTGAAGGGAAACTTCATACACCTTGTAAATGTTACAAATCTATTTAAATAACATTCAGATCTGGGTAATTCATGTATATTTCTACAAAGATTAATCATCCACAGACTTAAAATACCAATATGGTTAAAACTCATTTACTTTGACAAAGGAATTCAACCTGGGCAGATTATAATTGAAGAAAATGATTGACTAAACTGAGTAAACACAATTTCCTGATAGCTTTTAAGTTTTTAAACACACTGTACAACATCCATAATGGCATATCATTAACATTATATGCTGCTGATATAATAAATACCAAAATGTCCAATGATTTTGTGATTCTGCTCTTCCGACACAAAACTTGTGTTACTAACTTAAGTCCAAATAACATTTAGTTTTGTTTTGTTTTTCAGATTGAAGATGAATTTTTCACAATGTGTGTGGTGTAAAAAGTCTAATATCAAGCCACATTTGAGAAGAAAATTAACAGATGACACTTTCAGACAGCATTTAGAGAAAGAACTAAAACAGACAATTACTAAAGATTGTATTATATGTGAAAAATGTAGAACACATGTCAGGAGGAAGATAAAATCAACAGAACCGGAAAACTCTGATCAGTCATTCATATATCTGAGTCCTAAAAATATTGAACTAAATATATCATCAACTTCATCAACTCATCGAGTTTATGCGGTTTGTAAGAAAGTGAGTTCATCACGAAATCCATTTATTGTCATTCCGAATGATGCAAGAAATCAAGTTTTATCTTTCAAGGTGTCATTATTCCTGCTGGAAATCGATGTTGTGTAAAACATTTATCATGTAGACTTTTTACCAGGGAAGCACTCATTCAGATTGAAGGAAAGAAAGATTTAACATGTTTCAACAGAACAGAAATTATTAACCTCCTTGCTACTGCCAGAAGTACCCTCATCAGATATGGGACTTTGAATTTTGATGACCCTGCATTTCTTAGTGATGATGAATATTTTAAACTTACAGGCATCACAAGAGATCAATTTGATGATGTTGTGTCACATACAGTCTTTGCGTGGCTCAAGTGTTAGATCAGTCAGAACATGTGTTGCACTGATTCTTGTAAAACTCAGGACTGGACTGTCGAACAACCTTCTTGGTACCTTGTTTAAACTTACAAAGTCACAGGTACAGCTGAGCAATTCATTGTGCAAGGGAATGTCTCATGTTACATTTTGTACCCAATAATTTAGGATTTGGGCATATTCAACATGATGAGTTTGTGCAAAATCATACCACTCCAGTTGCCAAAAAACTTTTCACTAAAGACAAAGTCAATGTTGCTATTCTTGTCTTGGATGGGACATATATCTACATTCAGAAAGGGGCTGACCACCAATTTCAGAAGCTATCCTACAGCATGCATAAGCATAGACCTTTAGTTAAACCCATGATGGTAGTTGGCACCGATGGATATATTCTTAGTGTGCTTGGTCCATATGCAGCTGATGGGATGAATAATGATGCATCCATAACTAAACATATGCTTTCAACAAATTCTGATGATATTAACAATTGGTTGGAAGCAGATGATGTTTTCATTGTGGATAGAGGCTTTAGAGACTCAACAACCTTTCTTGAAAAACATGGTTTTCATGTAGAAATGCCAGCTTACCTGGAAAAGGGGAAAAGACAACATGAAGTAGAAGATGCTAGCGATATCAAGACTAATTACTAAAGTCGCGGTGGGTTGTTGAATCGTTACAGCGGAAGAATTAAGCAGTGGCGATTTTTGGATAAAGTTGTTTCAAATCATTATGTACCCCATATCGGGGATTTTGTGCGTATTATTGTTATAAGCTATGCAACAAGTACCGGCCAGCACTGGCATCTCATGATCCAGAAGATGAGAGAATTGCATCGTTGATGCTAGAGAGGAGTCGACAGGGCAACCCAGTCAAAGAACTGGTTGAAAAGAAAACCTTCTTAGAAGGAGGAATGTATACATTCCAATAACTGAAGCTGATGATGTAAGCTTTCCAGTGCTTTCACTGGATGAACTTAGGGATATAACAATGGGTGTTTATCAACTAAAGTTGGCACCAGCATATGTTGCAAATCATGTCGATAGTGACAATGCCTATCAGCTTTTCCTGTGTAAGGAAGTGGATGATTTAATCCAGTGAAAATCCAGTCTCGGCATGTCGGCTCACTCTTGCACACTTTGTGGGTTCAGTTCACTGAGGTTAAGGTGACAGGATGGTACTGCACTTGCAAAGTGGGTGCTAGAGTTGTTGGATGCTGTGCGCACATAGCAAGTGTCATTTGGTACCTTGGGTATGGCAGACACCAAGACAAGATGCCAGTTTCCAGCAACACTAGTGATCACGGCTCTTGAATGCTGCAGTTCTTGATAGTGATTCAGAAACTGAGATTGATGACTTTGTAGGTGAAGAGTAAAAGTGTATGTTTAATATCTTAGCAGTGAATGAGTTGTAATTAATTGCTTTGTTAAGATGTTTGAATCTGGACTTTTAACACTTACTTAGTGTAAAAAAAATCAAGCTGTGGCAAGAATGAAATTTCACCTCCAATGGGCCCCTTTGAGGTCAAGACTATTGATTTTTATTGCAACATGACTGGTAATTGTAATAACATGTTGTGAATGAGATGTTTACTGTATGCTAAAACTGGTTGTGAATACTGACATTTAACACTTACTTGGTGTTAAAATCAAGCTGTGCCAAGAATGTAATTTCACCTGAAATAGGCCACTTTGAGGTCAAGACTTGTGATTTTTAGTGCAACATGACTGGTTATTGTAACGACATGTTGTGAATGAGATGTTTACTGTATGCTAAAACTAGTTGTGAATACTGACATTTAACACTTACTTGGTGTTAAAATCAAGCTGCGCCAAGAATGTAATTTCACCTGAAATAGGCCCCTTTGAGGTCAAGACTTGTTATTTTTAGTGCAACATGACTGGTTATTGTAACGACATGTTGTGAATGAGATGTCTACTGTATGCTAAAACTAGTTGTGAATACTGACATTTAACACTTACTTGGTGTTAAAATCAAGCTGTGCCAAGAATGTAATTTCACCCGGAATAGGCCCCTTTGAGGTCAAAACTTGTGATTTTTTTAGTGCAACATGACTGGTTATGGTTGTAAATACTGACTTTTAACACTTACATGGTGTTAAAACATGTTGTGAATGTCAAGAGATGTGCAACATGACTGGTTATTGTACGACATTTTTTGAATGAGATGTTTACTGTATGCTAAAACTGGTTGTGAATACTGACATTTAACACTTACTTGGTGTTAAAATCAAGCTGTGCCAAGAATGTAATTTCACCTGAAATAGGCCCCTTTGAGGTCAAGACTTGTGATTTTAGTGCAACATGACTGGTTATTGTAATAACATGTTCTGAATGAGATGTTTACTGTATATTTGCTAAAACTAGTTGTAAATACTGACTTTTAACACTTTGTTAAAATCAAGCTATGCCCAAAATGTAATTAGACCCAAAAGCGGGCCCCTGTGATTTTAGTCTTGACGTAATTGGTTATCATTAGTACATGTTGCAAAATTGACCTATAGTTTATATTTGCAAAGAAAGTTGTGAATAATGAGTGTTTTGGTAAACAACTGGCATGTAATTGAATTACTGTCCACAATGTATTGCAACCCTAATTGGGCCCTTTTTAAGTTAAAACCTTGTGATTGATGTTGACATGTTTTTCATCATGAATACCTGTTGTAAAACTGATGTTATTTGTATGTAAATAAAATGGTAGTTGTAACTAAGTCATTATGGCACACTGATATTTCAGACTTCTTGTTATTCTTCATGGGAACTGATAAAACCCATTTTGGGCCCCTGTGCATCGAAATTACGCCTCAGATCATCTAAAAAATAGCATTTTTATGCAAAGCAATCTTGTCTCTAAACAAATAACATGTGTTCAGCCAATTCTGTTTGTGGGCCAAAAACCACCCTTATCATACCTTGTCCTTTGTGTTTCTTTTCCAACATTGATGCTGTTTGAAGCATGTGCCTGGAGTTCCATGATAGATTAAAGAGGTATAAATCCATTCTTAATCACTCTGAAAAATGGCAATTATTTTTCATTGATATATTGTAACAGTGTAATCAATGGTTTTAGAGGGTCTACATGTGTCTTGGAGGTCTTTTGTTTGAGCTGTTGCTATTCCAGTGACTGGCTTCGTCACGATATGGCTGAGATATTGCTGATGTGACGTTCAATATTAACTCACTCACTCATTCCAATGACTGGCAATGTCTTTGTAATGGGATGTAATCTTTCAAGTATTAACAAGCAAATTCACTTGAAAAAAGGCTTGTGTTTAATCCCTATGATATCTGAGATGAACCAATTTTTTTTAAAAATGCTTTGAGGCTTTTTTAATTTAAGGAATGATAAGAATCTTTGTAAATGGGCTTCCTCCTGCTTTCCATATTTTTTTAAACTGTTTTCCCAGATGTGAAAACCATGTACTGACACTTCGTCTCACATTACACACTCAGCCGCAGAAGGAACTGTGTTGAAACAGGAACATGTGTGGAAAGACATTCCAATTTCAGAGACTCTATGTGACCTTGACCTCAAATGACATCATTAATGTGCTTCTGAAAAAGAACTGGCCACATCTAAAATCTTGGGAAAGACATAGCTTATTGTCACATCTTAACTGGGTTGTGATTGACGGATAATTGCATGGTTTAACTGTGGTATGATTTACATGTTTTAACTAGATTGTGATTATCGTGTCATTACATGGTTTAAGTGTCATGTCATTACAAGAATATAGCTAGTGTCAGCTGTGACTGCTAAGGACTATCTTCATGAAAAGGACAGGGCATAATTACAAGGGATTAAATCTAAATTACATCATTTCAGGAAATATAGCCATATCTTTATTATAACTAGCATCATTAGGAGTTTTATGCTGACAAATGAGAATAGTGTAGACACTATGGCTCTCCAAGTGCCAAATGTGTTATCTAATGGATATTCAAACTGATAGTAACAAGCAATATCATCTTCTAAATGCGAAATTTTGGTTTCTTTTGTAATGAATGTCATAACTTTCCAAATTTAAATTATCAAAAATGTGGTGTAATATCTAAAACACAAAATGTTGATGTTTTCCGATATAAGTGAAATATATATTCATATCTGGTTAAATGTTTCAAGAGGCACAAGGACGACTATCGTCTGATGTGCTGCAATTTGCTCTGCAGAGATGCATCGTGTGTGATGATGTTTCTAAGGTCCTTGATGCACTTAAAACCTGCATCACTTCGGGCTGTGCTCACACAGTGAAGTATAAATTTTATGCTGTAATTAAAAAAGCAGCAGAATGCACCAACACCCTTTTTCGTTTCTTTGTCTGGACCGCCTCCGTGGTGTAGTGGTTAGAGCGTCAGCCCGGAGAGCGGAAGGTCGCAGGTTCGATCCCCGACCGCGTCATACCAAAAAACGTTAAAATATGGTACTTGTTGGTCCCTGCCTGGCGCTCGGCATTAATGGGTACAACAAGGACTGGTCGGCTCGGAGTCAGTATAATGTGTCTGAGAGGGGTATTCATGCTTCACTGCGGCATGGTATCTCAGTGGGCTAGCACTATAAAAACAGCTTAAGTCTGGGCTAGTACAAGCAGCTGCACCTACACATACACACGCATGCATGTCGTCATATGAGCGAAATATTCTCAAGCACGACGTTAAGACCAATTTCACCTCACCTCACCCGTTTCTTTGTCT